AATAAAAAAAAAAAACCCACAAAAACTTAATACCATATCAACAAAATAAACAAATTAATGAAAATCTAGGTAAGAGCTTTCTGGCTACTAACATTTGGCAAGTAGAATGTTTTAATTAATATTTAACTATGGTTCATTTACTTTAGTATATTACATGACTGCTTTACTTTTGTTTTGAAGTAATTTTTAAGTGAATAGTCTTCTCTATCCTGACATTGAAGCTCCAAACATCAATCTCAAGACATTAAAAACACAGATATACATTTTAAGCAGTACTTTAGTAATTAGCTATATATTATTTGGTTAGCAAAGAATTTACTTTTAACAAGCTTCAACACTGTCTGAAGTATTTTCAGTAAACGAAAAGAACATACTTGCCCACAGTTATGTGAAAATTCCCTGCTACTTTATTGACATACAAATGACCACGAATTCTACATGCATCTGGAGACTCTAATGGATCATCTTCCCTGTTGAAACAAGATATATTAAGATTCTTTAAAGCACATTCAACATAGTTACCACTTTGTAGTGACAAAATTGCACACTATGGGGGAAAAAATCATGAAAGATCAACTTTTAGGTAATGTTTTATATGTCAAAAATAGAATAGCAGTTTCCTGAAGTCTATATAATTATAGAAATTACACATCTACAAAATGGGAAAAATTATTTCACATCTATTATATTTAAATAAATCTAAAATTCCATGTTTCTTCAAATCTAACCAGAGGACTAAGTTCAATGATGGAAGGAAGACTAAAACAAAGGAATTAGTCCAACAAGACATATTTTCTTCATGTATATCTGGCACTGTAGCGGGGAGGGGAGGACAGGAATAAGACTGAGGGAAGGGAAGGGCATGTGCCATCTAAGTTCAAACAAACAAATAATATTTTGTTCCTAAGCAAATGTAAGAGTTCTGTATATTTCTGAATTTAAATTATCATTTTCATGATTGTAGCATTTTCAAATATCAGCTTTTCTAATATATAACAGAGAAAAAAAGTGAAATAAAAAACAAAATTCCTAACCAAAGTTTATACATCCTCATAACAGTATAC